TTAATAAAACCAAACCATTCTGCCATTGAATTTGACATATACGAGCTCAGCTTTTTTTATATTGTTTGCAAGTCGAAAAAAAATTGTTTGATAACGGTTCAAATTAGTACAAAATAAATAGAGTAAATATTAACGGATTGCCTAACTGTAGGGGCCTATATTAAGATAAATAAAATGTACTTAAAATAATAAACAGCAATAGTCGAATTTTTTCATTTTTTATATTTTCTTCAAAATAAAAAAGAATGCTTTTATCGGGAATTGAATCCGAGTCGCGAAATCCAATGTTAAGCGCTTTAAAGACCTGAGCTGTGAAGGCTTATCTCTAGTTAATTATCTAAACAAATATGTACAGCGGCTTTTTTTAGACGTCTTCTTCGAATGCTCCATCACTGCAGGGACGGCAGCAAAGTATTTCCATGTTCTACAAGGTAAGAATGAATGAAAAATTTGTAACCTGAAAGTGTGGCTCCTTCACCATTTTATCCTGTACAGGGATTCTTATGTGCGTACTCAACAAGTAACGAATCAAATAGAGAAAGACATTACATACAAATTGCTTACTGTGGAACGAAGACAGTCGTCTCAACACGTGCCGTATTGAAAGAGGAGAATCCCAATGCTGATCACGCGATGGACAGTTTGTTTACATTGTTGGACATAGTATAGTTTATAATACATCAATCAATGATAATCCTATTTTTTAACACACGCCAATCAAAACAAAATGTATCTGAAAACACTGCATGCTGCAGTGTTTTCACTCAATCCTCATTGGATTTAAAAAATTAAATTCATTATCGGAGTGATAAATATATCAATGATTTATGCGAAATATCAATATGTGGTTTGTCAAAACAGTGAGACGAAAAATCGACAAATCGTTTAATATTATAAATTTTGTAAACAAATAAAATTAACTTTAAAATTTGATTCTAATTAAAAGTTTTCTTTATATTTAATAATCTTTCTAAATACCACGTGAGATGATAATTTTTTTTGAGGAAATTTTGTTTTTTCTTTACAAATTATGCAAAAGAAACAACAAAATGTTCTCAAAATTTCTCACCTCTTTTGGTATTACCCTTGATTATACAATTGTGGTTGATGGTACAAGCAAATCTTAAAATTGGTATTTTTTTCCAAAACCCATATTCTGAAGTCAAGAGCTTTATCTTTATTAATAAACAAATGTAAATTACGTCTATCAAAAAAAACTGAACACATTTTTTTAACAAATTTATTCTTTAAAATTATTTTTACAGGAAATATTTACAGAAGTAGGTATGTCTATCGACATTGGGTAGGTTAAAATAAGAAGTTATTTTAAACGACTCGTAAAAATAAATTTGATTTTTTTCGCACAACTAAATGCATGATTACAATATTAGGAACAGCAGCAGCAGTAGCAATATTAAAACAGCAGTGATGAATACCACAACTTGGCAAAGAAGCTTGCTGGCTGTGGCTGTGAGACTTTCATTAGCAGTAGAACATTTCAAAAGAAATCTAAAACAGCTTATATACTCTAGCTTTTTTTACAGAATAAAAAATACATGTTACATTTTTACCAATTTTAGTATTAGTATTTTTTTAAATTTATTTTTATATATATTTTTGAGATATTTTACAGTGTGTTATCATTATCTTCTTAAAATCTTAATTATTACTATTTTTATTATTATTATTATTATTATTATTATTATTATTATTATAATACAGATTCGGAAATTGAAACATACAAGCCAAATGTATTAGGGACGAGCCTAAGAGGGAGTGAGGAGAAAGTCTCACGTACCGTGCTCGAGGCAACATAATGGGCAATCGTTGTTCAGTGGTCTTTGTTTCACTGATCGTATTTTACCTTGTCTAATTCATTGTAAACTATAGGGTGCGCATGTAGATTTCCGTACCTGTATATACAGGATGTCTTATTAAGAATGGGACACAGAACAACTGAAAATTCTCTGATTAAAAATAAGACGATAAAACGAAACATGCTTAGATAAAATATTACTGGTTTCCGAAATACAAAGTGTTAAAGTTGAAATTTAAAAAAATATTTATTGGCTATAATTTTTTTATTACTCAGTATAATTTTTCTAAATTCGGTAAAAATTGTTGGTGTCGTAAGATACATATATCAGCAAAACAATCAGTTAAATAAACTTTCCAGTGGATTATGGCACGGATAAGTAACATTTTCATACCCTCTAAATTTTACGCCACTGCACAAAAAATTATTTGGACCATAATTTTGAATGTTTTCATGTTTTTTAAATAAATCATGTACTTTTATTTGGAACTCATAAAGTTAATGATTTTCGAGATATTCACTCTCAAAGGTCGATAATCGAAATTTTTAATTATTTTTTATTTAATTTTGTAATTTTGGATTTTTTATAAATTCCCAACAAGAGTACATGATTTATTTAAAAAAAAAAACATGAAAAAATCAAAATGATAGTATAAATAAATTTTTGGAGAGTGAAAAAAATTTAGAAGCAATTAAGGTGCCGTACGCCACTGGAAAAGTTTATTTAACTGATTTTTTGCTAATTGGTGTATCTTATGATACCAAAAAGGCTTGCCCAGTGCAATTTTATTAAAAAATATAAAAATTACAAAATAAATAATTAAAATGAGTTCTCAACAAGAGTACATGTTTTATTTAAAAAACATCAACAAATGTAAAAGTATAGTCCGAATAAGTTTTTGGTGTAAAATTTAGAGGGAATGAAAGTTTTACTTATCCGTGCAATACGCCAGTGGTAACGTTTATTTAACTAATTGTTTTTGTAATAGATGTATCTTATGACGCCAACAATGTTTACCGAATTTAGTAAAATTATATTAAGAAATAAAAAAATTATAGCCATTAATAATTTTTGAATTTTCAACTATAACACCCTGTATTTCAGAAACCAGAAATATTTCATCTAAGCATGTTTTGTTTAGTCGTCTTATTTTTATTCAGAGAATCTCAAGTTTTTCTGTTTTTCTTAATGAGACATCCTGTATATATTATCTTAGAGCTATTAAAACCTGCCCTTGCAATATTGGGGTTGCATAATTTGCGAATCAGTTATGTTTATGTATATTTATGAATGTGAATTAAAGAAATATAATTAAAATTTGTTATTTTCCAATTTCTGTTGGGAAATTTGTACCATAGTTTTTCTCCAGCCACAGCGTTTTATAAAATTTTTATCGCTGATTGTGAGTATTTTAACAAATCTACTATGTGATCAGTGTTAAATTTTAATCCATTACTTAAAAGACGACACAAAGTGTTTTTGTGGCCAATTGTGATATTTAGTTAGGGACTCCGTAAAATATGAATTATATCTTAAAATTTGTCAAACATTAGATATTTCTGTCCAGTTCAAAAGAGAAACAACGTAGAACTATCTTGTTATGATAATAAATATGGATATTTCAAAATTGTTATTTTCTTACAAAGTTGATCTTTTTTGGCCGAATCGGAAATTTGCGGCCAAAAAAAAATCAAGTGGCAGGCGCACACATTTTTTAGATGTCTTTCTCATCAAGTATATCCGTTTTTTTTACATCCTTCTTCAATACATGAATAGTTCAAATTTTTATTGATCGAATATATTGTTAATTAATGAAATTTGTACAGAATTACTAACGATAAGTAAGATGAACTCGTGTTTATACGTCATTTTTGCGAGTCGCTTAAAATAATTTCAATTATACATGGTGCCGCAGTATAGTTTTTTTTTAAGAGAATACTATGTATTTTATTACATTTTTGAAATCTTCAAATGCAACTTTGTATATTCTAGTGTTTTAAAAAATATGGTGTGTTTAAAAATTTTAAATAGATCCTAAATTTCTTAATATTTTAATTCAGTTTTTAAAGTAAATTTGGAGTCTTGTGGTTTGTAAGTTCAAATACTTACTGATCGAAAATACTGTTAGTGGACCTTTACGAAATATATATTTAAGTCCGTTATTTAAAATAGAACATCCAGTATATTGAAACATTTTTAAAACAATTTTATTTTAAATTTTTCTTAAATTAAAAAAAGGGTTGCGATTTTTTTATTTCCCCTTCCCTGCATAAAAACCCTGTCGAACAATTCTTCTAGGTTTTTTGCTTTCCAACTCCCATTTTCTTTTCTTTTTAATGGTTCTAGTTTTATCTCCATCCGTTTTTTCGTAATGGGCATTTTTCTCGATAATATGTTCGCTTTCGGCATCGACAGATTGTCGAGTAGTACACGAATTTTTTTTTAGTTTTTCCGGAAAATTCATCAGAGTAGTTTGAAAAATCGGGAAGCACATTATTTTTTTTACCATACGAAAGAAATTTACAATACGGAAAAATTGGCACTGTAGCAAAATTGGTTGAAAACCACTTTCCCGAAGGAAAATTTAAAATTTTCCTGAAGCATCTGAAAGAGAAAATATGATAGAATTTTGGAATAAGAAACCCTTTTACAATGTTACACTATTTTTCTTTGTAGATTTCAAAAATGCAATAAAATACAGGTTATCCCATTTAAAAAAAATAACTTTGATATGTATCATTTTACTGGTGCCCTCTGTATAATTGAAATTGTTTTTAAATTGACCAGGCGTTATCGGTGGCCAACATTGTATATTATTCTAATTCAATATCGATAGATTTGAATGTATTTTATGGAAACGTATACTTTTGTGAATATATCCTGCAAATTTAATGCGAAAATAATTCTAAAGAATAAAGTTATTTAAAATATAAAAATGTATACACTTTTTTTGATCTACCTTGTAACAAGTGGTCCACAAAAAATGTTTCCAAAGTTGACCATAACTGGCAAAGACAGATATACGAGTCATGTCAGTAATAACTACGTGCGACTCTAATTAAATCCAAACACATTTAAAAAGAAGAATAACTGTACCTGCGAAATACGTGAATTTTTGCATGAAACATTTTTTGTAGATTGCTCCTTATTATTAATATATTCATTTGATTGTTTTTTTTTTAGATAGATACAACAAATGACAAGTCCAGCAATGCTTCATCTTCATTACAGTTCAGGTGTAGAATCCAAGAAGACGACAATGCGAAACTTCGACAGATCAAAGAAAAACATAGACGAAATCAGTTATTGAAAAATCTGCTGGACCCAGAAGCTGCTTCTATATCATCATTAATGGATCTGACGCAACAGGACTACGAAGTTAATGCACCAGTCGGGAACAATCTCTTGCAAGGAATAGAACTATTGACAGCATTGGACACAAATTCATCTATTTAGTTTAGATTTTTTTATGTATATTAAGTGCATGGGATTTTGATACAATTTGTATAAGGAGTTCTATAACATTTATCACTATCGCCGTTGTGAGTACTAGAACATTTCGATTTGGTCATCAAATATTTGAAAAAATATGACAAATTTTGCATCAAAATGGTCACCTTCCATCGACCTATTAACATTTATCGTCTTAACAATAGTACAATTTTGGACTGCCAGTTTTATCAATTTAAAGTAACAGAATAAATAACCAGAAATGAATATATTGGCTTTTTAATACAAAAACCCAATATTTGAATTAACAAAACATTCAAATTAAAATTGCCCTAGCGATAATTGTTGTATAAAGGCACCCCTTTTTTAGTTTATACATTTTTAGATGAGATTTTTTTTGGCGGTAAAGAAATTAGGATAAGATACAATGCCTAATATATATTTATATTTCACTCTTTTTGATGAAATATATTTATTATCTATTTAAAAATGAGTATCTTTTTATTCCTCTATCGTTTCGCTATGTGGAAATTTCGGTAAGTATTTTACAGGTTCCGCTCTAAATAACAAATGAATTAAGATTACAGTATTACAAGAGCTATTCGGTAGAAGTCAAGGCTGTGTTAAAAAAATATTCTCCAAATTCACACAAACGTAGTGCCGAAAAGGTTGATTAAAATTATATTTTCCGCTCGTCTCTGTCTTGAGCTGTTTAAGGATTATTCAATTTCAAAAATCGGTTTAAAGAAAATAATTTTACGGTAACTTGATTAAGAAACTTAATTTTCCTGCCGTTTTTAAAATACCTCCTATACCTACCCGCTCTTCTGTTATCCTTATACCAAAATTTTACCTATGAAATTGCAATTTTGGAACTGGTCACTGTATCAGGATAACAGAAAAACGAGGAGGTGGAACATTTTTATTTATGTTCCAATCTTGTGGAATTTAGCCACAGCAATACAGTAAGTAATTTAAAATGTTTGACTGGTATCTGCTTCTTTCTATCTTCAATGCTTTCTGAGAAATGAGCCTCAACTTTTAAACTATTTCTGTTAGATGAGAACCGAGTATTTTTTGAGATCCTGATGTTGCATTCTACATGTACGCTGATATTAATCTTCTATTTTCCCAAAAATGAGCATTTTTTTCGTCTCCGATTTTGATGCAAATTTGGGTATATATAAAAGAAGGCACAGCAAATTGCGATGTCGATTCGATTGCTTTCTATCTATAAGAGTTTGTTGCTCTAAATTCACACAAACGTAGTGCCGAACAGGTGGATTAAAATGACATTTGACGGTCAATTTCGCGTTATATTTAGTAATACAATTGGAACTTAATTTTGAGTTACCTTAAATTATAACGGTAACTTGATTCATGAACCTTATTTTCCTGCCTTTTAAAAATACCAGTTGTGGAAGAGAAAATACATCAGTTTTATTATGTATTTCTGCATCAGGTACAAAACTTTTCCCACTGTGCATTTTTAAAGGTCCAAATATTTTAGAATCCTGAGTTAGTCAGCAAGAAACAGACAAAACCGCTTATAGTGCCACAAAGAAAGGTTGGATGGAGGCTCACTTATTTCTAAAATGGTTTACCAAATGCTTTTTAACCTTCATTCCAGAGGCTAGACCGATTCTATTAATCTATGATGGGCATGCAAGTCACATCAGTGTCGATTTGATAATGTGGCAGTAAATAATTCTATGAAGGATAGGTTCGATAAAGAGTTGGTAAACTATGAAAGAAATAATTCAAGAAAACGTATTCCTATACATCTATCCGTTGCCATCCAAAATAAATGTTTAGAAGCGGTTCCAATATCTGTAGTGATGAATGGATTTAAAAAATGTGGAATATTTGATCAGGCTCATTTAGAAATAGCGAAGACACCAGTCAATCCTTCAAACTTTGATATAAATATGTTTTTACCTGAAGATCTAGAGATATGAAACCGACCAGCATAGAAAGCAATTAGAAAATGAACTCGAGGCAGGAATCAGAGACAGGATGCTGCAAGTGCTGAAGATCAGGTGAAAAATACATAAGATATTCATGGTGAAGACGAAGAAGAAAATACCAAAAATGAAAAAAATTGAAGATGAAAACACTGAAGTTACAAGGACTGCAAATGGTAAAACCTCAGGTAATACTTCATTTGAGAAGATTTTGTTGCGTTACGTCAATACAGGGAATATAGGGAATAACTGCTAAAAAACATAAACACCCCAATCAAAAGAACAAGAATCTGTTTAGCAGCCGAAATTATTACTGAAGACGACTAGCTACAGAAAGTCTAAGCAGAAAACGCATTAAAACAGAAAAAAGAAGAGGAAAAATAGCAGATGAAAATTATGATAATGGCAGAAGCTCAAGCACTACGAATGATTTACATATTAAAAAAAACCCAAGAAAAACGGCATAATTTTTCTAATAGTGATGCAAGTGAATTTGATGATTCTAATTCATCCGAATCTGAAGCTGCTGAGCCTGTAGCAATAGAAGAGGTTATGTAATTGTAGTGTACAATGGACTGTATTTTCCAGGGCGTGTTAAAGGAAAAAATTAAACTCTAGTAAAAGTTTCCTGCATGGAAAAGTATGGAAAACTTGGTAATTCTTGGAGATGACCCAAAATAGAAGATTCGATATGGTATGATGATGCAGAAGTAGTAAAAATTATACCACCACTAAAAATGGTGAACTATACAGGGGCATATTTGTACCATTGATGATTAAATATGGGCATATGAATTAAGTTAGTTAAGTATTAAATTTTGTTTTTTGCCTTAGTTTTTGTGTTTACTTACAGACAACTTTAACAAAACTTTAAACGTTAGCCATCATAATCTACAAAACGATCTTACTCTCACAAAAACAGGACTAGGTAAACCAAATTTGGTCGCAAAATTGGAAGGATCACAAAGTTTCTTATTTTATAAAGAGGAATTTAGGCTAGGTGTCCCACTTGCTCCAAGTTTCGGGGTAACTGGGGCCTCCGGTATAGTTAAAAAAAATATACTTCGAAGTTGGGACAAGTTTAATCAACACAAATGGAAGCCATATAATAGGCTAATTAACATCCACTATTTTTGAAGTTATCTTAAACACTGAATTTTTAGTCAAGCTTCAAATTTTAAAAGTTGAAATAGTAGGTCACCGTTATCCAACATTACCTTATATAGACAACACAAAACAATGAAATCGATCAACTTTCTCTTTCCTAACGATTATCTATTTATTATCTTCACCATAAATTAATAAATATTTACGTTATGATGATAGCCCAAAATACATACCTATATAAAATAGAAATTAAAAACCTACCACTGGACTATAATGGCACATTATTTGAGTAATTCCTGCACTTTTGAACTAATTTGTCTCATCTAATAGCAAAGAAACATCATTGGGCTCAGGCATTTGGTTTAGTTTTCTGTCCCATGAAGTAGATCCAATTTTTTTTTTATTCTTAGAATAGTTTCAAATGTTTATTAATCGAATAAAAAACCTTTTTCGAGTAATGAAATTACGACTACTAATACTTTTTTGTATAGGAAACATTTATCTAAAGTTGTACTCCATTGTATTGAAGAATTTAAAAATCCAATAAAATATAATAGGCAATTTCGTTCAAGAACGTCTCATCCAAAGATATCGGATAATAGATACGCCTTGTTTACATTGAATTTGTCCGCAACCTTTTTCTGACAGTAGACTCTTCCTATGTTGTCAGATCTTTTTCTTCAAATATCCTGTATTAAATTTTTATTAAAAAATACTATTCCCTTTAATATAATCTATTAAAAAAAGAAAACTAAAGAACTGAAAGCATCAAAATGAGTTTTTTATTCATTACACTAACTTAAAACTTTTAAGTTTGGTAACCTAAGATATTTTGTTGACTGCGTCAAGTGACAGCTTAATTTTTATTGTGCTTTTTTGTAGTTATTTAAGATTTTAGAGAATAATTGGAACATTGAACTATTTAATAAGTACATTTAGGATGGTGAGGTATTGTGTAGTGTCCCAAACTATTTGTAATAAGAATGTTATGCGGTCATTTTATAGGTAAGGTTTTGTTAGTATAGACGGAGGCATATATAGTAAATAAGACTTGATTTATTTAACCTTGTAAAGGCATGTATAAAATTGTCAGTGATACCAGTTCCAAAAAAGTAATTCCGTTATGCAAACAACTCTGAAAGTAGGAGTGATGTGCAATCCAAAGGGTATGTTTTGGTAAGCTCCTTTTTGTATATTTATATCTAAAATAAAGTTGTACTGTTTTTTATAAGTTTTTTATTTCATAAAGAAAGCTAGTTGTGACAATACCGATGTAAAAACTAGAAAGATAACCTCCATTTCTAATATTTTCATTTCATTTTTATTCAGATTTTTTAAAAATCAATAGGCTTCGTTCCTGAAATTTTCAAGTTGATATCATTTTTCGTTTTTAACTTATCATGAGGACAAAAAACGTGACATGGGACGGACAGACAAAGTAAACCTATAATACTCTTCACAGACATGTGTAAAGAGTATAAAATATTAATAATAAATAATTGACTTTATATTTTTATTTGCTTTTCATGTATTTTTTTAACAATGATCTAGAATAACAAATTCGCAATTTAGCACTTTCAAATCAACGACGAACAACTACTAGACTAATTTTGTTTATAAAAATCGAATTTTAAACATTCACCGTGCCACGTAGTTGACAAATTATTAAGAGTATGTGTAAGTAATGTTACAAGGATTGTTTATGGTTATAATTCGGTATACTGACTTTAAATAAGGCTCTAAAACGCACAAAAGGCTTTCAAAATTACATTAAGTAAATATGTTTGCATTCTTAATGCCAGTTATTATCAGTTTAATGTATTTTTCTTGTTGCAACTATCATAGTTGAAGATGATTTCCAGGAAAAATCGCAATTAATTTTGAGGTGTGAAGCGTAAAGCAAGCTTCATGTACGTAAGTACTGATTCCATTCATAAAACGCATGCTCGCTCCTCAGATAAACTATCCCCACTCAAATTAGTAGTTGTCTCGTTCTTTCTAATGCGGCAGCCGGTCTGCGTACTATGAAACAACAATCTGAATGATTGAAATAAATAAGGGTTTAATTTTAAATGAGTGGATTAGTATAGTAGTTTTTCGTCGTTGTTTCAAATCCTAATAAAATTGTTTCTCCAATTTGAGCTGCTATTTTAAGCTATATTAAAATATACACAATGATTTTTTGAATACCTTCTGTATATAGTCCCCCCTGGAGCCGCCCTTGTACAGACCATAGGGTGTTCCAAGCAGTGTTGCCAACCGGAGGGAAATTTCCCGTTTCGCGGGAATCCAGTCCAAATTGTGAAAAACGTATGACTTTAAAAATAAATAAAATTAAAATTGTTAATTCTTTAATATATTTTTTAAGTTTTGTTAAAAGATTTATGTTTTTTAGATTATACTTTTTATATTTTGTTATACACGTTCGTTTTTCTTTTAATAAATATTTATTGGAAAATATGTAGATGCTTGTATTTCTGGTATAAAACCGATTTTGTTAACGCGAGGGAATTTTTTCATAAAAGTGGGAATTTTTAAGGAGAGAAGGGGGAAAAAGCTTACTTCAAGGTTGGCAACACTGGTTCCAAGGTCTGGGATAGTATTCTCAAATGTCGAATACCTCGATTCGCATGCGAGATTAATGAAATGTCGAATAGCAACTAGGTGATTTAAAAAAAGTGTATTTTCGAAAACAGAATACGACAAATGTCAGATGATTTCAACACGAGTGGTCTAAAGTGCTCGAATTTAAATTCTTATGCGACTTTTAGACCCTAAACATAGATGAGACAGATTTTGATTAAATTAACATTTGGTGGCTGTTGAAAATAAAAACATTATTAAAGAGTTACAGCATAGAAGGAAGATGTTTATTTATAAAAATTCATTTGGAATGTTATACTGTTATTTATCAAGCATTTTCGACTTTCTAAGGAATCAACGCGGCTCTTGATAGATATCTTTTGTAACTAGCATGTTATAACGCCTCCAAGTAGAGTATCAGCAGGATGTTTTCGTGACATATTTTAATATTTCAATTTCTGATTTACATTGCAATATTGGTGCTCTTCCATATTTATAAAAAAAATCGCAGTAATTCTGCTATTTGCTTTAAAATTGTCTAAATTTCTTAGAAACGAGGGGTTCTAATAAATAAACAGATCACAGAACGTACACTAATGTTGACAGATGACATAATTTCGTACGTTGCCACATAAAATCCTTCGCATTATTTATCGCTTGTGATTTTAGATTCACTCTTTTTCGAAAATACAATTTTTAACAACCATGCGAATTTGGTATGCGACATTTGCCGTGTGCGACAATTTTCATGCGAGACTCGAGAATTCTAGCCCTGTGAAGCCAAATGCGAATTTTAATAAAACGTCGAAGGTGGTACCTATTCGAATCGATTGTGCATGATTTTTCCACGTTTGCCCAACAAACATTTTCGTTAGGCCACCCTTTAAAAAATTATGACAAAATTAAAAATTTGAGCCAACAGAAACGCCATAAAAACTTTATTAATTTCAAAGTTGTCCTTTATTTTTTTCACGTTTGTCCAACCAAAAGTTTCGTGTGTAGACCCCTCAAGACCGAGATATTTATAAAACATGATTTCACCAAATGTATAAGAAAGATTGTTTTGTTGTTAGCAAGGACCACAAACGTTTAAGAAAAAAACGATTTTCTGTCCAAAATGTAGACATAAAATATGAAAAACCATCTTATTTTGTACTGGTGACGCCTCTGCTTATTTAAATAACTACACGTAGGCAACACAACATACTTCACATCCAAACGTCAAGAGTCAAATTTTTCAAGGTTTTAGGTTATGTTTATATTGAGTTCTGTTATTTTTCGTTTTGATAATTTTACAAATTTTTATAAACAATATAAATGAATTAAAATGTCACCCGATACAAACGGCAATCCACCAAGTGTCGTAAAACGCAAGAAAAAAATAAATCCAAATAAAAAATGCGTTGGATCTGATTGCCACTGTTTCGTAAGTTCTCCAGCTTGCAGCAAAGGTACTCTGCCAAATGTTCAAAGTTATTCTTTTGGAAACAGTTTAAAAACTCAACATTTAATGACATTACCGTCACTATCAACGAATTGTAAGAACTGCTTATTCAGTTCGGATGTGCTTAAAAACATGCAAACGCCTGAATTCAGTGATAGTCACGAATATTCCAGTTTACCACCAACGGTTAATATGCAAGGAAACGAAACATCGACTGCGAGACGATTTTCTGATCCTGGTTTACCAAATGACAGCGACTCGAGCACTAGCACAGTTGATGAAAGTGTTATACATAAATTAAAATCTCAGGTAAATCACCTCAAAGAAAACAACCACAGATTAACCAGGGAGATTGAGGATTTAAGACTAGAGGTGAATTTGTTAAAACAACATAATTTTAAACAATATAATAGGGAATATGAACCTGGGTTGATCGCCGATATCATTAGAGAAGTTAGGGATGCAGCGAAAGTTAGGGAAGATGCTTTTTTTGCCAGAGTTAAGCATTTAATGGAGGAACAACATCAACAGCTTGGATTGGTAAGTTAAACAATTATTTTTTATTGGATAACGTGCAGGAAATCCCTATTATAATAAAAAAATGACCAAAATGATTTAAAACATCCAATGCTTTAATTTGCAACTTTCTTCATAAAAACAGCAACACAGAAGTCAATCAAAATATTGCAATTTTTCTAAAGCTATTGAAACACGTACCCAAAATATCTCCAAAATTATTAAATTTGCACTTCTTTGCATTCTCATTAGACTACTAAATAAGCCATAATTAATTCTGTAAAATGGAATGAAAAATAAATCATTTTGAAGAGTATCTTACTGGTACTATAAATTGAATGGATTCTAAAAGTTCAGAAGAATGAATAGATCCTAAAAATAATTTATACTAAAATAATAAATCTTCTGCACCTGTTCAAAATTCTAGACATTCAAGATCCATTAAGTTTCACCAGTTATTGCCGCCCCAGTTATCGACAGTTTGCCATGTAATCGTCGCCCCAGTTATTGACAGTATCACTAGTTACCTATCATCACTACAAAGACAAGTGTTGAACATTGGATATTAATATAACTGTATGTACCCAAATATCGACAACCTTAAAATTTAGGTTAGAATTTAAGTAAGCAATGACATTTTACATTTTACCAAAAACCATGTGTTTTGCCTTACACAAAATTTTATTTACATATCTTAACTATTTAAAAAGCATTTTACTATGTGCTTATTTAAACAAATTTCTTTAGAAAAAACGAATGTACGTGCTGCTTGACTAAAACTGTAACCTTCGTGAATTTTTACAGTATTGCCAGAGACATTAGACTTTCCTCCTGGCATAAAATTATGTAACAACACATGCCCTTATTGGGAGAGTTTGAATTTTAAAGTGTCGATTTCTAGTGCACTGTTGATTGCTGGTGCTCTTGCCTTAATTATAGTTGCTAAATAACTAGGTAAACCTAATCTGAATGAACAATATCTCAGAAATTTGTGTTAAACAGACTTAAATGACATAAAATGGAGACCAAACTAGCAACCTATATTCTACTATTGCCCTAACATAAGCTGAGTAAATTGTTTTAATGTAATTCAATATGATCCTTAAGACAAAACCTAAAGTTTTGAGTGCTTTATTTATTGTATGAGCAACAAATAATTGATGTTAATCTAAGAACAGTCTTAAATAATTTATCTCATTAACACATTTAACACAAAAGTAATTGTGTTGCACTTATTTATATTAAGTGACATACAGTTCTCCACAGATCAATCATGCAGTGCATTAATATCATTTTGTAAAAGATAACAATCATCTTCAGGTAATCAGTGAAAAGTAGAAAATTACTATATTGGAAAATATCTTCAAAAGCATTAAGAACAATAATGGTCCCAAATGGGAACCTTGTGGAAACCCTGTTAAAGGTACTTCATACTGGATGGATATACTACCATCTATCCTAACCATTTGAACTCTATGTTTTATTTTATTTAGCCATAAGGTGATTAATTTCAACCTATATAGTATATTAATTTTGCTACAATATTAAACCTTGTCACAATTATATATTCCAATCATAAAATATGTTTTAACTTTCACAAAGATCTTTTTCTTCCTAACTAGAGCTCTTGGATGAATTTGACACCATCTGATACCATTATTGTGTCACATTCGTGGTTTGAAAGGTTCACCAAGGATATGATGAATTTTGCTATGATGTAAGTCTGTTGAAATCTATTTGGAAAATATTGTTTTCTAGATTTCTAGTGTGTAGCGTACTTTTAAAGCAAATTCTAATTTTTATTTTTTTTTATACTTAATATATATTTATTCTGGTATTTGTTAAGAAATAGTGTTGATTATAAAGTTCCTGTGTCATACTAAAATATATTGAATATCCTTAAAAGGACATCTTCATTATAGGTACTCGTTATCCTGGTACAGGGGGACACTATCTACATTTTTAAATAAACATGTTTTGTTTAATTGTCCTATTTTTAATCAGTTGTTCCTCTAATTCTTAATGGGACACCCTGTATATATCAAGTAATTACCTCATTCTGCCACCTTATGATGAGAACATTGTATAAAGAACTTAGTTCTTTATACAATGATGAGAAGCAAAAACTGTTAGAAACCTACTTTCTTGACGTAAAAACTGAGAACTGTTGTAGTGTTGCAAACACTCGAGAGGGCAACAGGCATCAGAAACGAGAAGAATAATGTTTTGTAACTTTGTAATGATTTGTATTGATGATTGATGCTATGCTATTATTTTAATCAATTATCATGCTGTAAACCTAAAAATAAAAGATTCAGAATACGTTTGTATATTGAGTTTTTGTAATGAAACTCTGGCAAAATAACCCATAGAAACAATCATAAACCTGAATGGCCCTTCAGCTCAGTTTAAAATAAAGCAAGAAACAGGACATGTTGGACATCATTGTGAACGTGAACAACAACATCGTTGTAGGCGTAGAAAAAGTTGTAGGTACCCTCAATTCATATATCTAACCATGTTCAGAAATTGTGTCATTAGCTGTTGATGAGATTCTCAACTCGAGAATAATTGAAAAACATGGATATTTTATTTTTCAGTAATAAGAGGAAGTGAGTTTTGTTCCATTTTATTTTCCTTTTTTCTTCGATCTACTTATTTTTTCTATTAGTAGTAAAGGCACTAAAAATCCATTTGTAGAAATGCATTGAGAAAAGGGAATTATATAGATTTAATTCATGTTCATTTGAAATCGAATTAGTTTAGTTAACGAAAGAAAGCTAAGAGCCTTTGTACTTTGGTGCTCATTTATAGAGTTATCTCTAAAATCAATGACACATTTTATTTGTCCAACTTTCTCCGAATAAATGACCTTGCAATTCATATTAAATCACAGCTCAGATCAGTGTTTAAATCATTTATCAAGCAAGAAGTAATCTATCTTAGAACATTTTTTTTAATAACTTAGTTATTAAGAAAATCCATAATGAAGTATTTGTTTCAATAATCAACTGTTTTCTTTTTTAGTATTCCTACTAATTTTTAACAAAATGTATATATCCATCGGTTGGTCAGATAGAGTGTCCCCCTGTCGCTGAACGGATATCTTTTTTTTTGAGAACGCAAATTAATTGCTTTTTGCCGCATTGCCAATATAAAATACTAATAATGTAATGCTCTTATTACTTAAAAAAAAAACGTTTTAAGTAACACTACTATGTAGGTAGGATTTTTTATGTGTTTGATACTTATTCAGATAAACAAATGAAAAATAGATATTTCGTCGGTATATATATAAGAGAAGATGACCAAGTCCACAATTTTACATTTTTTAGTTTGTAATGTACCTTAAATTCAATATTATTTATCAGGAAAAAAGAATAGCTCGAAAAATGCCATAAAAATGCTTATAATTTGAAATACCATAATGAGCAAGTCCTTTTTGTAAAAATATGTACATGAGAAAATTATTAAAATACTAGTAAGTAAAAATTGTAATCGGTGGACTTGGCCACCTTCTCTTGTGTTTGAAGCCAGTATAATTATATGAACGTTTGACAGATCTCCATGGGCGTATTAAATAGTTTTTTTCCTTCAGAATTGAAAGGATTGTTTTGTAAATATTTTGTTGAGGTCAAATTTAACGAAAAATGCAAATATAAAATTTTATTTTACAAAAAATAAATCTTTCTTTTTTGTTTACAAATGCAATAATATATATTTATAAAAAAATAGATTTCAAATGACTATACTGTTAATATTGTTTATAGGTAGATAAAGTGATAGAAATACCCCAATCTGACAAAAGATTATCGCATTTTTAGTTACAGTTTGCACCTGTCTTCTTATTTCAGTTGCGCTTTGTTGTTGCTTAGTAGCGTAAACTTTATTAAGTTGCGTTTACACGAATACAAGAAGTCACTTTGAAAAAAATTAAGATAACGTTTTACATTTTGTCTACAAATACTAGAACAATTTACTTTCGTACTTTATAATTAAATTTCCCAGCTAAACATTGGTTTTTAGCGTTTTTAGAGTTTTTTAAAGATAATCCAAAACAGATTCTTTGTTAAAAAAATATAACAAAAGACACAGAAAATATTTATTGAATAACTCATATAATTTTTTTAATCAATATCATTTTCTTCACAACTGGACTCTTGATTCAGACTCATCACTACTTGCCGTTGTACCTAAATTAATAATAATTGGTTCTAGATCAGAAATATCTAATTGCTTGTATTTGTCTCAATAGGAAACAATTATGTTTTTAGTGTGTCTTATATAATTGTCCCACTGAGTATCGATGACATTATTCAAAGCTTCTGACCAAGTCTGAAATTTATCTTCCGGTGACGACATTGTTGTTAAAATTTTTTCGTCATAAAACCGTTTGCACTGGAGGAGTTCTTAATATATTATGCACATATTTCTTAACATATCTATCTAGGAGGAATTCTTTTCTTGGTAGATTTTGACGTACAACTTCTCAAATCTGATATTTCATACCTGCTGATTCTTGGCGTAGTAAATATTTTTCTGGTACGAGATAAGTGGACTGTACTGACGTAATGGGATAATAATAAATCTTTCCTTATGTTTGGACTTACCTTTAGACGCACAGCGGGTAGTGAAGATCTGGCTGGCCGGCAGTATTGGCACTTTTATACCAAAAAATGCGTTAATTTGGTTCCCAAATCGTCGACCGCTCTCGAATAATAATGAGACGAAACTGGCGATTCTCGTCCGAAACATAAGGTAGGAATGAATCGATTACAAAAATCGAAAAAGAGTAAAATATTCAAAAACAATTGATATGAGCCAATCCGCAACAATACCATTGATTGGATAATTAATGTTCTTTTCCTGCAACCATTTTACCATTTTATCTTTTGTCCAACTATAACATTAAATTGGTTGCTTACTTTTTTAGACATTATTTTCACATACTCTGTATAGAATTTGTTGGTTTACTAAGTCTATAGATAGTTTTTCTGTAAAAGAGCCTCGCAAATAGATTTGTCTCTTAAAATAGGAAACTACGTTTAGAGCCTGACATAATAACATGGTGTAATTAATCTACCATAAGCCAAAATTTAGTAAAAAAAATAATTTCTTTGTCTATAAAAATTTTCTATGGGGGTGGTAGAGGGCTTAAAACGTATTTCTAAAATTTCGAAAAAAAAAAAAAAATAACCAGTGTACCTATATGCTTAAACACAACTTTTAATGAGTATAGCTAATTACAATTTTACATTTAATTTTTAGCTATTTTGGGGGCTGAAAATATAATTTTAAAATAAAAAAAAAATTACAAGCAGTTTTTATAATAAAACGCAGCTTTTAAATGCTATAGCTAATTAAAATTTTAACTTTAATTTTTTCGGTCCATCTTACTACTCGTATTTATTGGGCAGAAACAAACGCTGCGACGAATTTTGTCCAAACGATTGAAAAACATCCATACCATTACCTATCCTTACTTATCTATAAATATTTCATTTGTTTATCTGAGGATACTTAACCATATTTTGCTAACTGTCATTAGGCTTAAATCCGGTTTTTGATAAAAAATATTTGATGTGGAATCTGTATTGTTTTATAAAAAGACGCCAGCCCTATTTTTAATTATTGTATTAATATGATTTTTTTTAGAACCAGATGCATTTTTTGACTGAAAAGCAGAAAAACAATGACAGAATATCTAAACTTGAAGAGCAGTTGAAAAGTTTAAATCTAGTAACAAACAGGTACCTAAAAAACAACTTTCCATATATAATTTTGACACGCTTTTTGAGTTTTTCTAATGTTCTTTTATATTATTTTTAAATTTGTCGCATTTAAGTGATGACATTATTTTTTTTATATATTGTAGATCAGAAAATAGTAGTCTATCATTGACGTCTCTAAATGGAAATAATGCTAACTCAGCTCGGCAGGTACTCGAGCTAGAAAGAGAAGCATTGGAATTAAGAAGAGAATTGCAAGATACGCGAGCAAAAAAAGAAGCATCGGATCATAAAATCATGTTGTAAGTCACCAATCGTATAATTTTAAAGAGTCAAATTTTATTCTTATTTTTTTTTAGATTGGATAAAAAACTGTCAAATTTGTTGCGTTGCGATGAAGTTCAAAGTTCTGATGCTTCCGATGATGGTAAAACTGAATCGGAAAGCGTCAGTTCCAGCGGCATTACTAATGCTTCAGTTCTTTCTCAAAATCCAAGAATAACTTTATCAGGACCGGTAACTGATTTATAGTTACTTTGTCTGAACTGAACATTCCTTTTATAGTACATAAATTAAAACGAAATTTAACTGAAATTAATGGTACTAAACATTCCAACAATAATTTTTAATATCGCTAAAACTTAAATGGAGGGTTTATGAAACTGGGATATCAATTAACTTTTAAGACTAAAAAAGGATCTAAATAAAAAAAATAATTATTAATATAATAATATATTAAATAACCCACAGATTTTTGTAATTTGACATATCTAAACTTCAATGTGAAACGACATATTTTTAAAAAGCACCAATATTTTTTTTTTATTAAGCACTTGATGGATTTAAATTCTGTACTTGATATAAATAAGATGAAAATCATTTTTTTTTGATTCAGTAAACAATTCCGAAAAATCACGCTCAGAACATATCGTGAGCTTAGAGCGAAAACTCACTAAGTCAAAAATTGTAGTTCTGAGGAAATCAACAAAGAAAATTTTAGCGGAGAAATTTGAACGTAATATGTTTTTCTTTTAAGTTGTAAGTTTGACCAAGGTAAGAATAATGTGCTTAGGCATTTGTTTATCGGTTTTACATTTAATAATTAATTTGATTTAATTGTTTTCTATAAAATGTAACCAATTTTATTAAAAAATTGACTTAATGAGTTTTGCTTTAATAGCTTTAGGGTAAGAAGATGGACTTAATGAATAAAATTAGCAAGTTATTTTCATAAATTTTTATTAAGTAAAGTACTGGGGGTGCTGGGTCAATATTAACAGATCCACTGACTAGTAGGGACTGATACCAACCAAGATACTCTTCTGGAATGGTACCCTTCTGGCATAAATTGAGTAAATCTGATTTCTTTTCTTTGGATATCGGTAGTAACCTTTTGTAAAGCTTTTCCAGATTCATATCTTGAAAATTATTATCTGAAATCCTTCTTCTATTTCCACGAACATCCAATCGACTGTATTCCCCAAAGTAATCATACTTGTACTCCATAATGTAGGGAGAATCTTTTTTAAATCGCAAACATTTAATTTTTTGCCACAATCTATTTTTTATAAATTTTTTTGCCAGACCTTGAAAATCATAAAAATCCTTAAACATTACCTGTTCAATAATATATGGGTCCCTTAATTTATTTCTATTCCTTTTGGATCTTGCCTCTCTAAATATATTTAGCCAATCATGAACTACGTATACAGGCGAATTTTTTTTTTGTTTCTCAATTGCGCTATGCATGGAGTCCACCTCCATGTAAGAGTGTCCACTCTTGAGAAATTTATGCTCAACGACATCGATCCCTGTTTGTCTGAGTCAAACAGCATCAAGGCGCTCACGTTTTGGTTGCGGTTTTGACCGCTGCAACTATCAGAAAAAAGCGATACAAGTTTGACTTCTTCTGAAAGAGTATGGAACCACTTAAATAAGCACGTAGCTATTTTCGAACTGCCCTTTTTTCCATTAAGTTCTGTCCAGGAGTAGCAGTATGCTTTATTTGGAAAACCTGCCTCGTAGATAGTAAAGTTATACATGTTAATTTTTCTAGTGTATTACATTAATGATACACCAGAACAGGGTATCTGCAGCACTGATTGCAGATCAAAAGTTACAGATACAAAATCACGTTCGTTATTAGCTATAATTTCATCTAGTTCTTTGGCCTTTGCAGCATCAGTTTTTCTTTTTATATGGCTTACGTAGTCTTCAGTCAAATTTTGATCTTCTGGCTTCTTTCCATGTTTCCAACAAATTTGGCATTGGTCCTTTTTAGGAATAAAGAAGGACAAATTAAAATTTGTACAAAATATTTTTCTATACATAGATTGAGAAACTGGTTGGCGATTATCTTCCAAGCATTTTTCTTTATACAAATAAAACATTTTTGAAATAGAGAGTTTAGAGTCTAAGTACATTCTTCTAGTATTTTTCCGTGTATAATGGCTTTCCATTTTTGGAAAGCTATTAATGTGCCTCTTTATAAATTCTATATCACTATCGCTAATTTTATTAGCTGGTGTGTGTTTTCCTCTATTATCTTGACCAGTAAATGTATCAGAAATAATGTTTCTTTTCTTAAATGCTGTTAAAATGGGTCCGTTGTTAATGCAAAGCGTTCTCATAAAAAAAGACTGACTAATTCGATCGTGATTTTTTAAAAAATAGTAAAACTGTATTTTGTCGTTCTTTGCTCTCAGGTCCTTTTCGAGGTCTACGTGTTTTTTGTGATTTTACATCAATATTGCTTAAAATAAAATCTTTCTGTCTTATATAATCTTTAAAACCCCAGTACTTTTTACAAATGCACAGTCTTTCTTCCTTAGTAAATTTCTCACTGCACTTAAATTTACATTTTGGCCACAGGTTATTGGTTTGGGCCGTTAAGGATCCCTATTTACACCTGATTTAGAACAGTAGTAGACCTCACGCTTACTCTTTTGATCTCTATTTTTGTTTTTCTTCCATTGATGTTCGTTCCTTTTTTCCATCTAAAACTATCTTATTTCTTGTTCGACTTCTTCTTCAACATCGTTCTTCCTTTTATCGTTAACCACATTTTCGTTTTTTTGAATCATCAACTTCCTTCGCAGATAAGCGAGACTTTCATTCTCACTATCCTCTTCACCAATGTCCAGGGTCATGTGATGGGCTGTAATTGAATGATACATAATAAATATCACAATTTAAAAACAATCAAAATTATATTGAACCTACCACCAGTTTGGTGTATTTCAGTTTCCTGCCCCAAAATAGGTTCGCCTCATCCCCAATGTTGTAGTCGAAGATGGCTGCATTTTTCCTGGAAGTGTCTAATAAATTAGGCTGATTATCTGTATAAACTATCTCGTCACTCTCAATAATATTCCAATCCAGACTCACTCTATTTTCTTTGGTTTGCATTAAATTATTAATAAAACGATTATAAGTACCTACTGGATAATAATATTGCTATTTAGGTTTTGTTTTATAGGTCGCCCCAAACAGTTTACTTGATTACTTGCCACATAAAGGTAGTTGTATTTTGCTTACCTTCACTTTTTTTCACAGACACAGCATTATTAAATATTTTTAATGTACGAGATGAAAGCATTTTGAAAAAATGACACAAAACGTTAAACTCACTAGGGTACTTATTAGTGACTTTTTCTGTAAAATCCAAGTTGAAAACAAATTATTCATTTATTTAATAATACAGAGGGATTGAATTTTGCAAAATGTTCTTTTGGTATAGCTGAATTGAAACAGAAATCTAAAAATCGAAAAATTGTGACTTAGTGAGTTTTCGCTCTAAGCCCACGATATGTTGCACAATCAATAAACAATATGAAACCTAAGTTGATACTTTTTTTAACTGTGTATAGAACTCATTAAAATCAACAACTTTTTCAAATAACTTAAGAAACTTACAATTATTTATTCCAAAATGTATCCAATAACGGTTCTGTCTAATTTACATAATGTGTTCGGCTATAAAATTAAATGTTGATCACATTCAGGCTTTTGTAAGAACCATTCTCAAACTGAACTTAATCTTCAAGTTGTAGTGCTTGAACATGTTGAACGTAAAAGGGATACAATAATTGCTTTTCCCGTAATGTTGTCGATATTTTTTCTTCGACTTATCCACTGAACTATATATTAAACTGGAAACGCAAAGCCGATGAACAAAATCGAGCCACATAGCGACGTAATATTTAACAGGCGCGTAACACCAAAATTAAATTTAACACTTATTACATTCAACCACAACACCTTTCAATTGAAAAAAATCACTGAAAAATGTTTATTGATTAATACGCAGCTAAAGCAAATGTTCCAATAACAATAATAATTAAAATACCACGATATTAATAAAAAAATAATATAACTTATCGTACTACGCCCGTCTGGCGTCTAAATTGACATGCGTACCGACCTTTTTTTTATCACCCATATCGGCTTAGAAATTAGGAGTAGGGCTTTTGGCTTATGACATATTATAGCCATCCCGTTTAATATGAAGGTCGGTAGACCTATCCCACCTGGTCTATAATAACTCGTTATAAAATTTAAAATGTCTTCATCTAAACGCTCTTTTCAATTTTCCATAAATACCGAACAATTATTTACTATACAGATTCATCCCTGTTCACGTATAATCATCGGTGCATAATGAAGGTAGCAAGCGCTATATAACTGCATACGCAATCGGTATCACGCGCAATTCTAGTCATCTATGCATGTTCATTGCCATAACTATGAAGACTAAAGATAAGGAGGCGAATCGGCATGCTGAAAATACGGTCCCAAAAATCACACGTCAATTGAAATTTTATAATTAACCATATGAGCGCTGGTACGGTTTACGTAGTTCAAAATACATGGCTTCTTATGGGAATTATACCTAATTTTGTCAAAATAATAAAAATAAACTTGTTTATAGCTAAATAAAGCACAGAACATACTGTTGTATTTATTTCTAAATAAGTCTTAGGGGGAAAGCCCACTCACGCGACATGTCGCGCGCGACCTGCCGCATGCGATTTTTTAGGTGCGATTTTTAACAGACGACAAGCAGCGACACAGACGTTCAGTATCAAAATAGAGGTGGAAGAAGTAGTAACGGTGTTGTTTTATTCTGTTCGTCGGCGGAAAAAATTGAAACGACGTAGGTACTGGGTTCACCCATTATTTATAGAAACTTATGTAAAAGGCGCATTTAATTTATTACATAAGGATTTACGTCAACACGAAGATAAGTTCTTCAAATATTTCAGAATGAGAGTAGTGTCATTTGACGAACTGTTAGCGCAGATTCCCGAACAAATATTTTTTTTGCTATTTTATTTCAATTAACTGTTGAGTTCGGTCTTGAATATCGGATATAAATTTATCTATATCAATACAACTGTCGGACATTCTTTCACTGGAACTGTCGAAAAGTTAACAGAAAACTCCAACTCTCAACTGGCGTTTCACACGCGACTTGACGTTTGTATGAGTGATGCTCCATATAAATCCATGATAACGCTGGCGGCAGGAAAATCGCGGACTTGTCATTTCTAATTTTCAGCCGCGTGCGACCACGCGACAGAACCGCGTTAATGGGCGTTGAGTCATTTAAAAACATCTAAAGTATTGCCGCTCGCGATGCTTCGTGATCAGTCGCGCGCGACTTGTCGCATGAGTGGGCTTTCCCTCTTACATATTTTAATTGATACATTATTTACTATTTATTCCTATTTAAGTAAAATGCAAATTATTGATGATAAGTGTTGAAATTTGATGGGTAGGGCTAATTATTTTTTAATTAAAGCCAAATAAGGCTAAGGGCATAGTAAGACATGGTTCATGAAAATATTTAGTCAGGGATTTTACAAAATTTTATAAAAATTATAAAAATCAAATTGTTAAGTGCTAACTAAAGCACAGAAAATACTGTTGATTTTAATTATTGTAAATAAGTCTTTGTTTTAATTGCTAACTAAAGTACAGAAAATACTGTTGGTATTAATTATAAATGAGTCTTTATGTTAAACATTATTTACTATTCATTATTTAATTTTATCTAAATAAAATGAAAATTAGGTATGACCAAATTTGAAAAGGTTTGTTAAATAGTGAAATTTGGTAAGAACAGTTTTGTGGTAATTTTGTATTCGACAACTACAATTTCATCATCCTGGTGAATAGTTTCTTCAGCAATAGGTTCTAGTATTTTCTTCCTTTTTTTTATTCAGTTTGGTTCAATGGTGGTTTTCGTCTTTTCCTAATACTGGACAAGTATGAAGGGAGATTCGGGAATATACATGGTATTGCTTCGTTCTTTAATCTCGGCTTTTCCCTTTTTAATTTGTTAACAGTACCATTAGTTAAAATAGTCTCATCAAATTTTGAAATATCATCTTCTAAAAAGTGTAGCTCGCAAACAGAATCATAACTAGACAGTACTTTATCAGCCTTAGGAATCACATGCTGCCATTGTTCTAAACGTTTAGGATCCTATAAAAAATATTTGCAATGACTAAATTGGAGTTCAATAAAGAAAAATAACAGTAGTAACTCTTCATCTAACATCAAAAAACATAAAAAAAGCAAATTTTCTTTTCTATTAAGTCAGGATTTATGACTTTATTATTTTTTATTATAGAATTTTGTAATTAAATAAACTACACTCCTTAAGATACGGGTTGTGACTATTTTACAATAACTATATATTATTTATAAATAAATACATTATTTTACTTACATTAGGAGCTTTAAAAAGACTTGGATTTTTATGTCCTTGTGATTTCTTTAATTTTATATCGGATTTATATCCCGTTTTGCAACCCGGAACGAACCAAATCCTGTTTTGTCGTTTTTTGTTACTCATTGTTACTTGTAGTCAGGTTCTTTATTTCAGCTTATTTTTATTCTTTTCACTAAATTTTACATAAATCACTTTAATTCCCATTGACTTGCATAGAAAATAGACGTCGTTATTTTGCCACCCGCCAACTACAGTAGTTTTTTGGAACTCCATAAAAATAGGGACGGAAATTTGAAATTTGACCAAGGCTGATTCGCCTCCTTATCTCTAGTCTTCATAGCCAAAACGTATTCTTCCAGTGGCGTAGAAACGTATTGGCAAATTGAATATTTAAATGGGGGTTTTAGTGAATATAAATATATGGGAGTAGGTTGATTATCTATTTTGTAATAATCATTCATTTATAATTTGATTTTGTTTATTATGAAAATCTGTAAATTAATAATTTGGCAACTATGTGGATGACACCGTAAATGTTTGCAATTCGATTTTTATAAACGAAATTAGTCTAGTAGTTTTTCGTCGTTGGTAACTCATTATAAATAATTCTTTGATATTTGATACGCCTATGCTGACTGTTACATTTCGTCGGAATTTCTATTCAGAAACAAAAGTGTTGATCATGCATGTGACTCACTTTCTCCAATATTTTGTTCTAGTATAGGTACTTCAGATAAACACTCTATTGAAATCAGACGACACATGAATACCCAGGACACAGAAAAGTGTGATTCACACATAAAATTCCGAAAAAAAAAAGGATACAAAACAAAACTCAAGTCTGTATGACTCTGATTTAGATTTTTTATTTTTGTCTTTCTTATTTTGGATTTTTTTTTTTTTTTTTCGAAAAAGTTATTTATTTTAACGACTTCTATACACAATTAAAAAAGTATTAACTTAGGATGATGTCAACTGAAGTAAGCAGTAGTAGGTACACTAAAAGATTAAAACAAAAACACTAAAATTATGTATATTTTAATTTTTGACGCACTCAAAAATCGAATATAAAAATGCAATTATTGATTTTTTCGAGCTTCTGTTTTCATTTGCAGTAACAAAATTGTAGTATTTGTAGATTTAGCGATTTCTGATCTACCAATTTTATCAGGTCCGTGATGAGCGCTATAAAAACAAAATCAAAATTATTTAAATAAGTTATATGACCAAAATTTATAGTTTAAATTTTTTTTTATAAATAATAAGTCTCGAACAAAAAAGTTTTTCTTACTCTTAACTGATTATACAATATTTTTGATATCTTAATCCCAAAATTTATAATAAATATCAATGTCCTTATTATTTTAATTGTCCAATCTTTAATTTTATGATAAAATTAATTTTATTCCATCTTTATC